GGCGATTCGTCCAGTCAGAAACTGGCTCTGGCGATTCGTCCAATCAGGAACCGGCTCTGGCGATTCGTCCAATCAGAAACTGGCTCTGGCGATTCGTCCAGTCAGAAACTGGCTCTGGCGATTCGTCCAATCAGAAACTGGCTCTGGCGATTCGTCCAATCAGAAACTGGCTCTGGTGGTTCGTCCAATCTGGAACTGGCTCTGGTGGATCGTCCAATCTGGAACTGGCTCTGGGGGTTTGTCCAATCAGAAACTGGCTCTGGTGGTTCGTCCAATCTGGAACTGGCTCTGGGGGTTTGTCCAATCAGGAACCGGCTCTGGCGGTTGGTCCAATCAGAAACTGGCTCTGGTGGTTCGTCCAATCTGGAACTGGCTCTGGTGGTTCGTCCAATCAGAAACTGGCTCTGGTGGTTCGTCCAATCTGGAACTGGCTCTGGGGGTTCGTCCAATCAGGAACCGGCTCTGGCGGTTGGTCCAATCAGAAACTGGCTCTGGTGGTTCGTCCAATCAGAAACTGGCTCTGGTGGTTCGTCCAATCAGAAACTGGCTCTGGGGGTTCGTCCAATCAGGAACTGGCTCTGGGGGTTCGTCCAATCAGAAACTGGCTCTGGCGATTCGTCCAATCAGAAACTGGCTCTGGTGGTTCGTCCAATCTGGAACTGGCTCTGGTGGTTCGTCCAATCAGAAACTGGCTCTGGGGGTTCGTCCAATCAGGAACTGGCTCTGGCGGTTCGTCCAATCAGGAAACAGTTTTCATCGTTGCACACGACTGTGTCCAAGTTTCAGCCGTCCATCTGTTGATTTGAAGAGCTTGTTGGCGTCCGCCTTGTTCATTATGTCTTCTTTGTACCACAGCATGATGCTGCCACCTCCATGCTTGACAGTTGGTCTGACAGCCTCACATCAACTCGTCCTAACATACTTCCTGTCATTTTCTGTTTGGACACTCTGGAAGGTCTCTTGTCTCATCTGACTTCTCTACGGAAGACATTTGTGTTGTCCATGTGGACAGCTGCAGGTCTCAGATGGTGTAAAACTGTCTCCATTGTGGACAGGGACACTGGTGCCCCAGCAGTTTCTGGTTCCTGTCACCTGAAGCTTCATCAGGAGACAGTTCTTCAACAGGAAGTTAGGCCTTGATCTCCATGAAGTAAACACGATTTATTTGACCATATACAGATATACTGTATGTGAGCTTGTATGTCTCGGGACATTCTGGAAAATGCTCAAATAAATAATCCAAATGATGAATGGATGGAAACATCTGAGCACAGCTGGACCTGGTTAAACATGAGTTTATTGTTGTTTGTTTGTTTGTTTGTTGGAGGTCAGACGACTCGATCAGGTCCCTGACAGTTGAAGGAACGTGTTCGATTGGATATCTCCATACGTGTCAGCTGTCCCCGCTCTCCTGCAGCTGGATTGATGAGTCATCGTCAGGCTGATGTTTGTCTGCGTCCAGTGGGATGAATGAACGCAGCCGGGGATGGATTCATGGCAGCCAATCAGGAGCCAGACAAATGACCACCTACCACCAACACGACGCCTTCAAACACATCCTAGATCAGTATTTAAGAGGAGAACGTCAGAAGCATGAAGATGTTCTCTGAACTGTAGAGGTAAATTTAAACGGCACAGTATTAGCCTGCGGTGGGGCCTCGTGGTCTGTGCTTTTATAGTTTTTACAGTTTCCCTATTTAAAGATGAGCATCAGACAAACACGTAGTCTTTGAGCAAACTGAACATTGAAGGTGAGGAAACAGTGTCATGTGTACATTTCACCAAACAAAGAGCTGAATTATAGATTGATCAGCACAAACTGTTCAGTGTGTTCATGTGAGGTCTGCACATCTGGAACAGGTTTTCACAGGTTAAATATCGATTTGCAGCAAATCAACCGTGAGCCGTTGATGCCAGGAGGTGCTCAGGTCACAGAGGAGCAGGTCTGAAGGTTTTACAGGAACGTTGAGCTGAAAGCAGCTCACGACTGATCGTCTGCCACTTATTACTTCAAATACTAAAGAGCTGAGGTCAGGACTCACGGAAACACGTAAACAGTTCGTCACATCAAATATGATCTAAAAATAATCCACTATTTCCTTTTTTACATTAAAAGATTCTTAAAAGGTCCCATTAAAATATTCCCCTGCAATAAGAGGCGGATCTACAAAACATCTACAACACTGTGGCTCCATTCACACTGTGGGAGGAAAATAAAATAAAAATCATACAAATAAAATAAACAGATCATCTTCTGATCCAAACACGCACGAGCCTGATGCGTTTAAAACGCAGCAAATCAGTTTCTCTGGACTCAATTTAAAAAAACAAGCAACAAAGAAAAGAAACCCTCTCCATCCTATTGACAGGCAAGGTGGCATCTCTCCCATCCACACCCTGCACGCAGCGCGCATGCGCGCCGCGGCAAACAAAGGACCAGGCGATGGAGCGACGGAGGAAGAAAGTTCTGCGGGCTGCAGGAAACACGCACGTCGATGCAGCAAGAGGAAGAATCAAATCTGTGTTCGATTACAGCCGGGGGGGGCGGGGGGGGGGGGGGGGGGGGGGGGGGGGGGGTGTTCAGGTGCAGCTCTATCACCACCCAACGCCCCCTCCCCCCTCCTCCTGCTCCTCGTTGCAAAAAAAGGAGGTGATATTAATAATTCATCTGCATCGTGACATAATGTGGAGGAGAATCAGCGCGAGCTGCTTTCAGCCTTGTTTCAGGATGTTCAGCTGAGGAGTGTCAAATCACCCCCCCCCCACACACACACACACACCCCCCTCACCCCCAGCTCTTCACCCCAGCCTGCAGAAAGCTCTTTTTAAAAGCTCTACAGTAATAAAACACAGAAATATTCAATAAATCAGCAACAAACCGTGCGTGTGAGGAGAAGCGCGTCTTTTCTTTGATTAAAGAGTAAAAACCAGAATCTGTGCGAGCGCGTGCTGCCCACACTGACGGAACACACCCCTTTTTCAGCTCGTGCACACATTAGAGCAATAACTAAATCAAAAAACACCTTTAATTCGGGTTTTTGTTCATTTGCAGCCTTTTTTCTTCACAACTTGCGTTTTTTGAATCTCTGGGTGTTTTGTCTCAGCCGCGCGCCGCGTGCGCACAAAAAGCAGACAAAACCAAACGGAGAAAAGATCTGGAAACAAGCAGCAGCAGCAGCAGCAGCAGCAGCTGCAGCAGCAGCAGCTGCAGGATGGAGGCTCTTACCTGCGCACTGAAGCTCCTGACGCGGCGGTGCGTGTGTGTGTGCGGCTCCCCCTGCGCGCTCCGCGGCTTCTGCCTGCTCCGCCGTGCAGCTCCAGCGCCAAGACCCTCCGCCTGCGCGCACACGCATGCACTGGGGGCGTGCACGCGCGAGCATTGTGCAGAAGCACAATCTACCAACGTCCACACGAGGAAGAGGATTTTTATTTATTCGTTTTATCAGTGATCTGATTTTACTCAGGGACAAAACGATTCGGTTCGTTCGCGGTGGTTCTGTTTGGACTGTCAGAAATATTCAGAACATTTTAATTAATGTCTTCAGATTTGGACAGTTCTGTCTCGGGGGGGACAAACAGCGTGTCCTTTCTGTTTCCACTCGTGAGGATTTGTTTGTTTGTGGAGGGAAACATTTCCTCTTCACTGATGTCTGGATGGAAACGCACGTTTTCTCCGTGCATGTTTTACTGAACCCCCTCCTGGCTCCTCATCAGTGTTTTGTTGCCTTCGTGCGCCCCCTGCTGTCCACTGCACCACCTCGACACAGAGTGAACCTGTTGTTCAGCGGACGCACCTGTTGTTGCCTCCAGCTCCTGCAACGTGTCCGATCCTCAGCTTCAGGCTGCTCAGTTCATGTGTTCAGAGTAAAACCAGTCTGTTTAACTGGCTGTTGCTCCTCCTGTACACAGAATGTGAATAATTTCAGCTCAGGCAGGGATTAACAGATTATACACGTTAGATTACAGGAGCGCGCGTGCTTCACCGCCCAACGTGGAGGAAAATGTTTAATTTGAAGATTTTCCATGTTTCTCTAGAGGAGTTCCGCAGTTTGACACCAGGGGGGAGTGTCTGAAAGGAGATGCTCCTGAGGTGAAGCAGCTTGAGCAGGAGGTGCAGACCTCCCTCTCCTCTGCCACCTCCTTCAGCTCTTCTGGGAGGACTCAAGGTGTTCCCAGTCCAGCTGAGAGGTTCTCCAGGGTCTTCAGCGGGGCCTCCTCCCAGTCGGACTTTTTTATTCTTCATTCAACCTTTATTTATCAGCTTAGTCTCATTGAGGCACAAGGACTCAAGAGAGACCTGGGGGGGGTTACAGACCTGCCTGGAAAACCTGGAGGCCTCCAGGGAGCATCCTTACACCTGAACCACGGCGGCTGCCTCCGCTGGACGTGGAGGAGCAGCGGTTCTCCTCCGAGTCTCTCCTGAACCTGAAGGGAGAGAAAACTCACGTAGACCTCCTGGATCCACAATCTGGAATAGAATAGAATTGATTGCCATTTGCACAGATACATTAGTATGAGCACAAGAAAAGTAAAAGTTTATAAAAAGATTAAAAAATAAAGATAAAATCGACAACAATGAACACAATTAAAACAAATTAAAAATGGTCTAATTGCAGTTCAGATGCTGCACATTTATCACGTTTTGTGTTGCTGCAATCTGGTTCTTCTGGTCACCACCCAGAGTTTGTGACCACAGGTGAAGGTAGAACGTGGACCGACCAGTACACAAAGCTTCTGCTAACAGCTCAGCTCTCTTTTCACCACAACAGACCAGCACAGACTCCACAATACTGCTGAAGCTGTAATGTAAACCATGAGGATGGTAACACAAGGGAGTCCTGGAAACAAACAAAGTAAAGATCTCAGACAGACACAGATGAACAGAACTCAGATGGAACTGAAGTCAAACAGGAAGCAGAAACGTACGACACAAAGAACTCTACAAAATAAAACAGGAAACAAGGTTCTAGTTGAACATCAAAGATCTCAGCTCCTCGTAAATCTGTAAGAAAAGTCTCCAGAGTTCTTCCAGTAAATATCAAACTTCTTTAGTTTTTGAAGCTCTCGCACAACTTACCTGTCTCACTTTACAAAGTTCATATAGTTTTAGTTTCACTTTAAAATAAAAAAAGTTATTTACCTTAAAGTTTTTAATGAATCCCTAAAAAGGTTCTGCTTAAAAACTGCTCAGTTTTTGAAAACCACCTCAGAAACTTTGAAGAATTGTCGTCGTTCACTAAAACTTAGATTTTACTCTGCACCGCTCAATGATCAGTTCATTGATCGGAAAGACCCCCCCCCCCCCCCCACACACACACACACACACACACACACACACTGTCTTCCTGTCCACAGGAAGTGGATTTGGTTCAGATCAGTTTGTTCTGGAAGTGGCTGTGACCCGACTCCCCCTCCTGACCCTTCAGAACCCCAACATGCTGATAAGACTGGGTTCATCCAGCCCAGTTGGGCTCAGTGGACCCAAACTGGGAGCTTTAAACAACCTTTGAAACAGGAAGTGTTAAAGAGCCACAACCAGGTCCATGTGGTCCATTTTTAAACAAAGGCTCAAATCAAGTTCTTCACCAGGTTTTTATTCTTCCTGGTGACGTTGGATCAGTTGATGTTTGTCTGCAGCTCTTCTGGGTTCACAGGAACGGGTTTGGATCATTAAAGGAGCTGCGGTGACTCGTTAGATTCATGGTTTTATTGTTCCGAGCTGACGCAGGGAAACCAACCGAACTGAAACGTTTACTGCTTCATTTTGAGAGCAGATTTGACCTTTTCTTTCTTCTCCGTTCACGAAGGCATCCTTCACACGTTTCCTGGACTTCTCGAGGAGACTTCAGGTCTTCTCTGAGACGTCTGGAGGTCACTTAACGGCATCAACCATCAGTCTTGTTGAACAACTTTAACATGGTTCACTTTTCCAGCTGAATTTAGTCGTTGCACACAGAATGTTGAGTGCACTTCAAACGTTGAAGACAAAGCTCGTTGCAGCTTCAGCCAGATGTTTCTTCTGGTTTCACTTTAATCTTTAAAAACTGTTTGGAACGTTGTTTGAAAGCTGCTCCGTTTTAGAGCTTTAAGAAGGAGATTCTGTCACGTTGTAATAAATATGATGTTTCTTCTGAGGAGACGTTCAAATGAACGTTCAGGAGCTGAAAGTGGAGCAGATTTAAACCAACTCTGCAGCTTTTCAAGCCGAGTAAAGAGCCACTGGAAACAGCTGATGAACAGGTGACGGTTAACTGAAACGTCACTTGTGTAAAACAATGATTGAGTTTTAAAGTTTTGTCACCGTGTTGCAGCGCGTCGAGGTGATTAACGGAGAAATGAGGCCACCGCTGACATTAGGCTGTTTGGTAAAACTTGTATTTTTTAAAGTATTTCATGTTTTCCGAGTATTTCTCCGGTTAAAACCTACAGATGTGACCTAACAGCTGAAGAGCTGGCTCAGTCTTTCACTAAGGTCAGCTCCTACCAGCAGAAATCCTTGACCTCAAAGGTCAGGAGGCGGAGCTACAAGAAGACTAATGTAGTTTTTTTTTTAAAGATGGGTGGAGCTTCACCTCAATGCAGTTGGACCCTGAATCCTCTGAGATTACAGGGACTGGAGGTCTGACCTCTGTCAGCAGCTGCAGGTCACAGGTCAAATGTCACTCAGGTGATGCTGGGCAGACAGGTGAGCCGAGAGCGAGGCTGTGTGCAGCAAACAGTTCTCAGCTTGTGTTTCCTCATAATTAAAGATTATTTCTAATATAACTAAAGTAATCTGAATGTTAGTGCAGGAACCGCTTCCGAAAATAAAACACTTGTTCCTGTTTTAGTCCTAGTTAATGTTATTAGTTGTTAATCATGAAACAGTTAGTGCTAAAAACAGGCTTTACACGAATAATAAATACAACAAAGTCTTTAAAAAACACTCACCTCTTCAGATTCACTTCTTTTATTTGTGCTCTGTTTCAACAAACGGCTGAAGTTTGATTTATTGATTATTGAAGGCATAGATGGAGCTGCAACATGTTGGTTTTTAAATATTCATAGTAAAATGTGTGTCTTTAAGACAAAACAAATGTTTTTAAAAAACTAAACCAAACTCTGAGCAGAGCTTTGGTTCTAGATGCTCAAATAACACGACTCAGGCACAAATATGACTTTACTGCTAAAACATGAAACGGACGAATCAAAGTGGGCAGACCATGCCGAGCTCTGACGGCTCGTCTGCTTTAACGAATCCTTGTGAAAACGTGTTCTTCTGTTTTTGTTGTTCGTGCCAAAATAAAACTCCAGAAATTAAACCATCATTTACATAATTATTACCAGCAGCTGCTTTTATTTCTATCTTTATCTCTCTCAATGGTTGTTAGTCAATAATTTAATTCCTTATTCATTCAACCTTTATTTATCAGGTTAGTTTCATTGAGACGGATGTTTGAAGCCACTTAGAGAGGTCAAAGGTCGAGAGCTTCAAATCTTTTTACAAGATGTTCCAGGAAACAGGAGCGGAGTAGGAGAAGGTCCTTTTGTCTAGTTCAGTCCTCACTGAGGGAACGCTGCAGGTAATGATGTCCTGAGAGCGCACGCTGTAGCTGCACTCACACAGAGACATGTAGGAGGAGATGTATGAAGGCAGCAGACCAGGAAGTGATTTAAAGATGAAAATGTACCAGTGGGAGAGTCTGTGTGAAGTTAATGGTGTCCAGTTAACCAGTGAATACTGGGTGCAGTGGTGGGTACGGTAGTTACAGCCAGTTATGAATCTTAGTGCACCATGATAGACAGCATCCAACATCTGCAGCATCCAACATCTGCAGGGTTCTTGTAGGAGCGTTCATGTAAATAATGTCACCGTAATCAATGGAGGGAAGGAAAGTCACAGATACAAGGCGTTTTCCAGCATTCAGGGTTAGACAGGATTTGTTTCTGAAAAAGAAACCCAGTTTAACTTTCAGTTTCTTTACCAAGTTTTCCTCATGGAGCTTAAAAGAGAGATGTGAGTCGACCAAGATACACAAATATTTATAGGAATCAACAAACTCAATAGGAGCACCATTCAAATATAAAATCAAAGGAAGAACTTCTGGTATGGACTTCTTGTTTGAAAAAAGCATCCCTTTGGTTTTGTCGGCATTTAGGACAAGTTTGAGGAGAAACAAATCAGTCTGGATGATGTTGAATGCAGATTTCAAAGCTGGAAAGCCTTAGCAACTGTTTTAGCTCGACAATAAACAACTGTGTCATCAGCATAGAAATGTATGGATGCATTAGGGATGTTTTTACCTACATTATGTATGTAGATTGTAAAGAGGGTGGGTCCTAAGACTGAGCCTTGTGGTACACCATTGTTGGCTGTTAAATAACTGGAGGAAGTACCATTATGTTGAACACATTGCCTCTGGTCTGAAAGATAGTTAGAGAACCAACCAATGGTGTGTTCTGAGAAACCGATTTCTGAGAGTTTATGACACAAGATGTTCTGATCCACAGTGTCAGAATCTTTAGACAGGTCTAAGAAAAGTGCAGCACAATAATCCTTAGCATCCAGTGCTTCAACAACGTCATTAAGAACCTTCAGTGAAGCAGTGGTTGTGCTGTGTTGTTTCCTGAAACCAGATTGATGTGGAGGTAAGATGTTAAATGAGTCCAGGTCATTTTTGATTTGAGAGTTTATCAGTTTTTCTAGAACCTTGGCTAAAATGCAGAGTTTAGAGATTGGCCGATAGTTTCAAGATTAAATAATAAAAAAAATTGGACAGTTTATGTCTGAAAAATGTTTTTTTTGCATTTAACACAAACACAGATCGTTAGAATTTTAGAAATATTTAAAGGGATTTTTGTTTTTTAGGGATCACATTTATAATGTTGATTGTAGAAAAGTGAAATTTTTTTTAAGAAAGTATTTAAATCTAGTTATTGATAATCCTGTTTTGTGATTATGTGATACATTGGCTTGCCATACAGTCTTAAGATCTGGTCCTCCAGCCGCGGGCAGGAGTTACCATCTTTCTGCAGCTCCTGATCCACATGTTGACAGCAGGAGGAGTGCGTGAGGCAGGAGCAGGAGGAGCAGCAGGGAGCGGAGCAGGAGGAGGAGCAGGGGGCGGAGCAGGGGGCGGAGCTTCAGGATCGTCGTCAGCAGTGTGTGAGAGTCTCTGAGCGTCTCCGAAGTTTCACCGGCTTCTCAGTTCTTCTCCTGTTACTGCTGTCGGCTCCACAAACAAACCACAAACAAACAAACAAACAACAAACAAACAAACAGGGAGCTCCGCGGAGCCAGGCAGCCGAGCCGCGGGGGGAGCAGGCTCAGCTCGGGGGGAGGACTGTCCCTCCGGATGAAGAACCCACGAGACAAAGACCGAGTCCTCCGTCCATCCTGAGCCCACCTGGAAGCTGCGTCACGTGGTCTTACCTGCACATGGTCTCCATGCAGCCAGTCCTGGGGGGTTAAATTCAAGAGGACGGGATGGACAACTTCTTCACGGAGGTAAGATCTCAGATCCACGGACACGCAGGAGCTTCAAACTAAACGCGATTTTATTCACAGTAACGTGCACATAAACGTGCACAGTGAGGAGGGCTCATCAGGTGTTTTACCTGAGACAAAAGTTCTGTTGGTGCTGGACCCGAACGTGCAGGCTCCGTGGTCCGGGGGGGTCCCTGCGGGTCCCACAGGGTCTGTGGTATTTCCGGACCTTTTTTCTGGTTTCCTCCAGGAAGGAAAAGTTCTGCAGAGTTATTAATAGATGTTTGAACTTGAGTCTCGGGTGGTTCTGGTCCTCCTGCAGCTCCTGGTGAGCTGGACTCCTGCTGGTTCTGAGGTTCTGGTTGTAGAACCTTCAGCTGATGTTTCTGAAGAACTCAGGCCACAAATCAAACGCGCATCTCACAAAAATCATTCATGTCCAGCTTTAAACGAGGCCTTCAGCTCAGACTGGGTGTACCTGAGGTTCTACTGGACCTCAAACGGTTCTTCACGTTTTGTTTAGTTTGAGACCAGGAGGCGGTTCTGTGTCAGGGAGAGTTCTTCTCGACCTGTCCGTATATTTGGACACATCTGGTTGTTTTCCTTCACACTGGTTCTGTTTGGTGTGTGAACCAGTTTGTCTCTGACTCAGTGGGTTTACAGCACCAGTAACCACACCTTGGTGTGACCAGCACCAGTAACCACACCTTGGTGTGACCAGCACCAGTAACCACACCTTGGAGTGATGATGTCATCCAGGTAGAGTCCTCAGGGTGTTTATATGGCAGGTTACATTTCTCTAACAGATTGCAATGGAAGCGATTTTCAAACTGGTTTTTTCTCGTGTGGTGCTGGTGGAACAGTTGGTCGTTGGTGCTCGGGTCTTTTCAAACCCAGTGGGGCTTTTCAGTGGAATCAAAGGTCAAAGGTCACAAGCCTGAGTGGGTCGTAAAGGTGCCGGTGTGAGTCCCTGTTGCAGAGGAACCCTGGGCCGGTCTTCAGACCTCTGTTCTTCAGCTCTGAGAGGAGCCGGGTTTTCCTCTGAACCCAGAGCGGCTGAAGCTCACAGGGGCTCAGATGTCAGCCAGAGGGTCGCAGCCGAAACAAAGAGCCCACTCTTTAAGGAAAAGACCGTTTGAGAGGAAGTAAAGGGGACGTTAACGGAGAGGTTTGGTGTTTCTGCCCTGGACAGTTTGGACGAGGCGCTCGGTGACTGAAGAACAGCAGATCTGTGGTTCTGTTACTGGTCTGTGGTTCTGGTACTGGTCTGGTTCACGTCTTTAAGTCCAACAATTATATATACCCACTTTTGTTGTTTCATCTCAGCTGCAGCCCTCAGACTCTGAAAACGTGACTCAACACGACCACTGCAAGCACGTCAGTTGTAGAAGGGAAGAGGAACTAATCACCGGATGTTCATCCTGATGCACGCTCAGAGATGTTCATTCCTCTATAACAGTGGTCTGCAACCTGCGGCTCTCGAGCCACCCCTGCTCTAAAATATTCAGCTTGTTTGTGTAAATGTTTATAAATCACTCACTTTGAGATTCCTTTTGATTCCATGCGTTTTTTGACACATAACTTGTTCAGTTTCAACAGTTCAAGTATCAAAACGTTCGGCTCCTTCAGCACATTCCTGCTCTGACTTTAGGTATTTGTGCAGTTTTACCTTTTTGAGATATTTAGCTGTGTCGGCCATGTTTTCCTCATTGAAAATGAATGGAGCTCTCTCCACGTCCTTCAAAGCCTTCAGCTGTTTACAACCTTTCACTGCTCATTTCAGCTGCTGTTCTGGTTCAGCTTTTTTCTGCTAATATCAGATTCTTTCAGCTCTTTCTGCTAATTTAAGCTATTTTTATTTTTTCAGCTACTTATCTGCTGATTTCAGCTTTTTTGGCTACTTTTGGTTTTATTTTGCTAATTTGAGCTTCTTTCTGCTCCGCTCAGCCTTTCCTACACAGGTCTTCCCTCTTTTCTTCTGCTGATTTCAACAAACATAGCTGTTCAGATTCATCTCACATTAACAGTTTAGCGCTGAAACCTTTCAGCTGGGTTCAGCTTCTTCAGCATCCTTCAGCTATAAGCAGTCAGGCTGTATTTTCAGAGGAAAGGCCGTCTCTTCTCGTGGTTCTGAAGATCCAGATCCGGCCTCCCATCGTTCAGTACCCCAGTTGCAGGATGTGAAATGTTAAAGGAGCGTTAGAAGAAGAAGCCTCGGTGACCCGAGAGCGTGAAGACGTCCTGCGTTAAAAGCAGCAGCTTTGAAGAATGTGTGAGTTTTTCCACTCGGACCTCTGGGTCTCCGCTCAGCAGAACCGGGTTCAAAGAGTTGGGGGAGGAGTGTGATGACGACACACTTCGGCTGTTTGTTTGACAAGAAGTGAAGTCTCTTCTTTCACTGAATGTTGTCTTGAAAGGACACACGGGGACATTGTCCTCAACGTACGGAGACACAAACGTGTCCACAATGACGCGTCCTTCAGCAGGAGGTTCCTCGTCTCTAATTACCGAGCTGCAGCCAAAACAGTCTGGACCAGAGTCAGAGCAGGAGCTAAAAATAGTCGAGACACAAACCCAGCCGAGTTTTCATGAGCCGAACATTTGATGGAACGAGGACCAGTTTGACCGTCAGAGCTGGAGGGGACGCTGGACTCAGAGGACGACCTGAGCTTCAGACTATTTCCTGCTCAGAGCAGAATCTGAGACTTTCTGTGATGTTTCTGCCAACACGACCTCTTTAAACCAAAACAGAATAAAACAAAGAACTCAGAGCTGATGAACGCAGCTGTTTGCCAACGAGCACTCTGGAGGCAGGCGATACAACCAGCAACCTGTGGCTGACCCTGATTGGTCCGCTCTGGTTTGGTTGTGTCCAGGGGCCGTGGGCAGGCGGTTGGTCCGCTCTCTGGAGCTGCAGCGTGTTTGCACAGCGGAGTCGGTTGGTGTGTTTTTGTTTGAAATGAAGGGCGAGGCAGGCGTCACGTTTCCACCAATCAGAGCGCAGCTCTGCCTCAGGTGTGTGTTTGCAGTGCTCACAGCGTTGGTGACTGTAAATAAATTCTGCAACAAAAGACAAGGTGCTCTGTCTGGTTTGGTGTTTGGGTTCCAGTTTAGCCCAGTATGAGTCAGAATTCAGGGGTTTGGTGAGGATTTCTAAGTTTCTAGTCCCAGTAGGCCGAGCCGTGTTGCAGTTAGAAAACAAACGGCGAGCGAGCAGGAACCATGAGGAGCCGACGCCTGAGAGCTGCAGTCAAACCACACAGACGCTCTGCTGCCAGAACCTGAGCTGACCCGGCCCAGAAGCTTTTACTGTTCCACACAGCCTCGGCTGCTTTTCTCATTAAAAGTGTAAAAAGTACCGGTCCGGTCATGGATGTTGATCGGCTCGCCGCCACAAAGGCAGCACCATTTTACAGCCAGACGTTTAATGATGGCTTCCACCAGAAGTTTCTGCTCCCTCCCACCGTTTCTCCACGGCTCGTTTCAGGGTTGAAACATGACACCTGTGGAGCAGCCGGAGAGCCGACAGGAATTTAAACCGTTTGCAGATTCGTCGTTCCGAGGCGCCAAAGATGGACTCCGGTCGTCCTCGTAGGACGGCTGTGAAACACAAGCCGCTGAATTCCTGCTGGTTTCGTGTCCTCGGGAGTTCCTGGATCACCTCGACCTGGAGTCTGAAGAATGTTCACACACAAATGTGACATGTTGTTGTTGCGTCCAAACGTCTGTGTTTAATGTCGGGAAAATACCGTCACACATTTTTATTCAAATCCAAAAAGGTTAAGTCAGGTCCTCTGGACTTGGTTGACGGGCCTCATGAGTCTGAGGCCCGTCATGAACTCAGTCCTGTAAACGGCACCTTCTCAAAGTGGATAAACCAGTTTGCTGGAGACCTCCAGTAATCTAACGATCGACCGTTAGTGCCCTGATGGCTCCTTGCTCAAACATTTCTTGTTTGTGTCCTGCTCCACTGCTGGTTTTACATAAAACACACAAACAGGATGAAGAGACACTTTAAGGTTTTGGGTTATTCAACAGACCCGATCTAGACCATCGGCCATATTTGCTACAGTCACGGGCGGTAAAAAAAAATCCAGACTACAAAAACATTTTCTGTGAATGCCGAACGACTTCGCTGACGTTTGTGGAAGAAGTCATAAAGTTGGGTTTTGAAAAAACAAGAAAACAACAAGTAAAATCAAACAGACGCTGAAATGATCAAAACTGTAGCTGAAGCTAAAATGAGCAAAATAACTAAAATGAGCAAAACTGGAGCTATAAGCAACGTATGCTAGTTGCAATGTGGTTGCTAAAAGTAGCAAAACTGTTGCTAAAGCTAAAATGAGCCAAACAGATGTTAAAGTTGACAGAGCTGTTAGTAGCTAAAAAAAGGCTAAATCAAAAAATCAACTAAAGGGACTGAAATTAGCAACGCTGCAGCTATAAGCTAAGCTTGCTAGTAGCAAAATTAAAGCTAAAAGTAAAAGACAGTCGCTGAAGCAGATTTTAAAAGTAATTTCATTCACGAGTCTTTTGAAAAGTGTAAAAGTTGTAAAAAACAAAAGTTTTAGCTCGTTACTCCCTATGAGCTGAACGTTTTAATTAGGGAAGCACAATATTATCAGCATGGTATCGGACGATATTGGCGATAAAGTTAAATATCGGACATTCCATCAAAATAACTCACCAACATAAAAGGTGCTGTTTTTTAAATCTATATTATAAATTCATACAGTGTTACATCATTTTCAGCCCCCTCTTTGGCCTCTGCATTTGGTAACAGGCCAAAATGACAAAGACCACGCAGAATAATGTGTTTTAATTCCACAGCAGAGAAAGCTCTGAAGTCTCTGTAAGTCGGTCTAGGTACAAATATCTATTGATTATCGGCCAAATAAGTTTTAACACATGATCATATCAGATATCGACCCAAAATCCAGTACCGTGCATCTCTAGTTTTAATCATTAAATGGTTAAAACAGCTCATGGGACTGAAGTGAATGCTGACTCAGACCATTAGA